GGCGAGTGGCTACTGCAATAGACAGCGTGGACGTGCAGAAGCAGTAATACAAGAGACAACGTTGGGATTTCTGAATGTAGCAAAGAACGGCTTCTGTTCCTGTGTTCAGTGCTTCCTCCTGCTGGTGGCTGCTTGGCTCACATGAGTGCGCAGTCTCCTGGCTTTTCATCCACCAGCTCCGCATTGGCTGGTGATGCGAAACCACCTGCAGCCTGCACCGTCTCCACGGTCTCCACGGGGGTGCCTCAGTGAGCGCTTGGTCCTCCTTTCTCCCCGGAGAGAGGACTCGGCTTCGCTTAGATTCTCTGTATGTGAACTGTGACCACACCTTCGTGAGAAACGTTCTGTAGGATTGCGTAGAATTGTGAACTGTGTTCAAGTCCCACTTGTGTGCAAACTTGTGTGATTTCTCCCGTTTCCTCCTTAGTTACATGTGACTGTTCTTTTAATTTTCATAGTAGTTCACTGACCTCTCCTGGTAGACCCAGGTATGTTACCTCCGTGTGTGATTATTTTGTATTATGGCTTCTTGCCGCCCCCCTACCCCTTAGAGAAAGCATGCACCTTGATGACTTTTCATAAAGTGAACAGGCATGTGTCCCTGCTGTGCAGAGGTGAGTGGACAGCATCCAGCACTCCCGCAGCCCTCGTGCCCCTTCCCCCACCCTCAGGATCATCCACTGTCGGCCTTCTGTAACCTTCAGCTGCCGTTCCTGCCTTCACTCTTCACAGGAGTGCCGGCTTCCCGGGTTCCTCCGTGGCGTCAGGCCTGCTGCTGGACGTGCCATGGATTCCTGCTCACCGCTGGGCTGTTGTTAAAGACCGCCGTTGAGTCTTTGTACTGCTGAGGAACATTTGTATTGTTAGGTTTGGGGCATTACAGATACACCACTGTGACATTCTGTTGCATGTCTTGTGGTGTCCTTAATATTCTGTTAAGTATACACCCAGGAGTGGAATTACTGAGTTACAGGGTATACAGTTTAATAGTTTTCCCTTCGCTTATTTCTGAAAATAGGAAACCTGCAAGAATACTAAATTAAAAATCATTCACATTTATCTAGGTCAGTGGTTCTCAACCTTCCTAATGCCGCGACCCTCTAATCCAGTTCCTCATGTTGTCTGTGGGCGCATCTGCATGAGGGCGGACCTGCCTGGGGACTGATAGAGGACGGTGTCTGGTTCCTAAGACCATCGGGAATAGGTGTTTTCCGATGGTCTTAGGCTACCCCTGTGAAAGGGTCGTTTGACCCCCAGGTTGAGAACCAGTGGTCTGGATCATCAGATTTTTGCTGATTTGCTGTTTGACTCGCTCTACCTTTTTTGGTGTCATCTGCAAGTTGGTTGTGGACATGAGAGCCACCCCTAAGTGCATGTCCTAAGAACTGGGACATTTTCGGCATAATCACAATACAGTTACCACTCTCAGAAAGTTTAATGTTGGTGAAACAGCGCTGTCTAACGTCGGTTTCGTATCTAAGTAACGCAGTTGTTCCAAGAAGGTCCTTTATGACTGTAGGCTTCAGTCCAGGAGCCTGCGTTTCATTCATCTCCATGTCTTTGGATTCTGCTCATCTAGCGGAGCTCCCTGGCCTGTGCTGTCATTACACAGGTAGTATTTGTGAACAGCTCAGGCGGGTAGGTTTGCAGAGGCCCTCCGTTTGGACTGGTCTGCGTGTCCTGCATGATGAGCTCCAGGGAGAGCCTTGATGGACTACGGTGCCTTCCAGTTAACACAGGTGGTCTCTGGGTTGATACTAGAACTGTAAATGTCCAGTGCCCTAATACACATCACGTGTGTGTGTGATTAACGTAATGCAGATACTATTGAGGTGAAATTCATGTAGCGTGGAATTAACCACTTTAAAGTGAACTATTCACAAAGGTACAGTCACTACTCCACCTCTGTCAAGTTTTAAAGCATTTCATCGACTCAGTCTCTCAGCAGCCCTGGTGGCAAGCGGTCCCGCCTGTCTGGGTTTGCCTCTTCCGAGTACTTCATGTGAGTGGAATCGCAGTCGGGAATCTTGTGTCCAGCTTCTGTCACTCAGCACAATGTTGCAAGGTTCCCTGTGTGGTGGCACGTGCCAGAACTTCATCTCGTGGCAGGGATGTGACAGTTTGTGTATCCTTGCATTCACTGTTTGTATTTGGATGGTTTCCAGCTTTTAATTACTGTAAATGACCTGGTGTTCTTTCACCGTGTGGTTTTGGCAACCATTGGTGATTCTTGCCTGAGTCAACCGTTGTTGCGATTATAAAATGAGATTGTGTGTGTTTTGTCTTTCCTACTATGTTTATCAGATGGAATTCTCCTGTGAAGGAGACTGTTAACCTGTGTGTGTGTGTATAGTTTCAATTTCATCATGGACTTATTTTTTTTTTTTCACTTGGTGTATATTAGTTCATTCTTGTTACTATTCATTTTTATCCTCATGTTGTGCCAGAACTTTCCGGCGGGCTCCTATCCTTGGTACAAACCCCCCTCGTGTTGGAGTTAGTGGCTTATAGGAGGTGTCCAGTTATGTTCATTCTTGTTTAGGAAGCACCACATGATTCTGGCGTGCAGGGCAAGTCATTGTGCTCGTGGACAGCGGACCCCACAACCACATCTCTGGTGAGCTTGGGACATGTCCGGGGAGCCCCAGCCATGAGAATGATCCTCTGTCTTAAAGTGAGCATCGGCTTTGTTTCGTGGAAAAGACTGGCTCTCCATGGGCAGGGTTTGTATTTAAGGCTGCTTTCCGGGACCGGTTTCCATTTCCACTCCGCCTGTTCCATTGCTGTGCCCCCTTCAGTGCAGCTGAAATTCCGCAAGTACTTTTCTTTAGGCAGATTTTTCTTTCAAGAAGTTCTGCAAAAGAACAGGGCTTAATTTTGGTCTACTTTTAAAACAAATTTCTCGTGTTTCAAGGGAAGATAATGGTGTTGTTAAAATTGTACACTTATCCTGCTGAGAATCCTGTGAGTTTGTGTTCAAGGTGATGCTAGCCTTGAATTTTTTCTGTTCTATATATTTGGGGAGGGGGAGAATAGGGTTTCTTTGTTTATAATAAAGGGTTTAATAAAAAATCATGGTCATGCCTTTAAAATAGTGATGAAAATAAAAATGAAAAAGAAAAAGTTATTAACAAAAAAGTGATGGAAATAAAGGGCACCTTTTTGTCCTTCCCTTTCTTTACTAAAATCTCTAGTTTTGTGAACAGTAGATATATTCTAACTAAGAATCTCCAGGGTTTTGTTCCTGACAGTTTCTGTAACTAAAGGAATGAAATTTCCTGTGCTACTTGTAAATGTCGTCCGTTAGCACTAGATATCACGGTGTCTGTAACTTTAAAGTTTCCCTGTGTTACTGAAAGCGACTGTAGTTAGCTAACTCCTTTGATCCATCATTGGAAGAGTGAATAGATGATACAGACTACAGCGGTTTAGAAGTCTGTGAGCCTGGCCTCCGGAGGCACTGGGGGGCTCCACCCTGGGGGAGGAGGAACGGGCTGCTGAGACCTAGTGGGTGGAGCCCGGGTCTGCCCCACACCCTGCAGACCCGCACGGCCCACCCCAGCCCACCCCAGCGCAGAACTGTGCTGCTGCTGAGAAGCTAAACCTTATGGTGTTTGCAGAAATGACCTTTTCAGATTGCTCAAAAGTAAATAACGACCATCGAATGGGCAGACCTAAGCTGGTGTTCCCAGAGATGACGCTGTACGTGGGGTTGCGCGGTGGTCCCCTTGGCGTGTGGAGACCTGGAAGCAGTGCATCAGAGGCGCCGGGCGGGACTCGCAGTCTCGCAGTCTCCAGGCTGGAAATGCACGCTGGAAGCCGGGCGCAAAGGGACGCCAGGGTGCGTGCCCAGGGCTCCCACCTGTGTGGACTGGACTCCACGCACCCCCCCTGCCCGCCGCCTCCCCCAGCCCTGCCTCCTCGAGGCCGCAGGAGTCGTTCGGGTTTCAGTACAGCTGTCGTGAGACAGTTGACCACACTCATGCTTTATGTTAGTAGATTTCAGACCAGTCCTGGGCCCAGCCCTCCACACAGGCGAAGGCTCTGCCTGCCACCTCTGGGCTCGGCACTCGCCTTGGTCTTGTCCGTGCAAGGTGGTGCCTAGGAGGGGCAGCTCTGGGGGCGGGGGTTCGCTGGCGCTCCGGAGACAGTCGGGCTGTGTTGTCACCAGCATGTACGTCACTAAGGTTCTTCATATGTCAGAGGGGCTTGAAACCCTTCTCCTGGGGCGGTTGTGGGAACTGAATAGGGCAGGTGTCCGGTGCCCGTCAGGCATTCAGCAGGGAGCACGTGTGTGCGTTGCCAGCCCCTGTTTGCAGAGGCCCTTTCGATTTAACATTCCTGCCCCATGCAACCCCCCTCCCCCCCAGTTAAAACAGAGGTGGGTTATGTGTTGGGCGTGGTGTCCTCTCAGAGGCTGGATATTCAGCCTGATAATCTTAGGGTTCATAGTTTGAGTGTGACAGTTACACTAGAAAGCGGACACCCCAGGTGCTGGGCTGTGTAAGAGTTGTCCCCCACTGTTCTGGCAGTAGCTGCGATCAACATTTCGGGTTTCTATGGGCCAGTACTTAGCGAAAAACTGTTCCCTTTTTCTTGTTCCTGTGTGTTGCTCCGATACATGTCCACCTCTGTCTGTACTGCTTCTGAATGTGCTGCGGTGGGGACCTTGGGTCCCACATTTAAAACGACGTCCAGGTTCAGGGCAGATCGGCTGTGAGTTGCCAGCCTGGAAGGGGCAGACGCGGGGGGGGGGCACCGGGGCGATGGGGGGACAGGATTCAGACTTCATTCTGATGCTGCATGTGGGGACATCAGGGGCTCAGGGTTTCGGTCACTGAGGTCGTGGGCGGTGCTCTCACTGGAACTACTGTTGTGCTAAATTGAAGGGGTGCGTTTGGGGCGGCTGAAAGGGTGGCAGAGGATCTTGTGGCCACCTCCCCGCACCCAGGTCGGACACTCGGCGCCCCGGCCGCCCTCACTCTCCTCTCTGCTTGCAGGCGAAGTCGTGCGTCTGCCACGTCTGCGGCGTCCACCTCAGCAGGCTGCACTCCTGTCTCCACTGCGTCTTCTTCGGCTGCTTCACGAAGAAGCACATCCACGAGCACGCCAAGACGAAGCGACACAACCTGGGTGAGCCCCTACCCCGTCTGCTGGCACTGGGATCGGTACCGCCGCGGCCTGCTCTGAGTTCAGATGCGCGGCTCCGCTCCTCTGAAGGTCCCGTCTTATCTAAATGCCTTGTGGCCTCCTTGTCCACCTCCAGGGGGCGTGAGAGGTGAACTGAGCCCAGACAGGTCATTGTAGCCAGCTGCCCTGTGGCCTTGATGTTGGTGTTAATTTTACCTGAGCTTTTTTTTTTAATGTATTTTTATTTTTTTTTAAGAGAGGGGAAGGGGGAGAGAGATAGAAACATCAATGTGAGAGAAACAGCCGCCTCCTGCATGCTGCCCACAGGGGATCGAGCCCATAATCCAGGCATGTGCCCTGACTGGGAATTGAACCCGTGACCTCTTGGTGCATGGGTCGACGCTCAGCCACTGAGCCACACCGCCGGGCAGCTTGACGTAGTCTTAAATGCTAAGTCAAGGTGCTTAGTCCTCACTCAGCTCACTTTCTTTGAAAAGTGCTTTTTCTTTAATGGACTATTGGCTCCTCATCTCTCCCTCTCAAAAACGTGGTTAGGAATTAGATTAGGTGACAATTTACAAAGATCTGAAATGCAGTATTGGGTTACGGATATCAACATGGAGTTGGGTGTGCACAGGTGATTTTTTTGCTGTGAGTAATGGATTTTATTATTCTGCGTAACACACGTTCACAAACATGCTAACAGCACCGTGTGGTATGAGGATAACTTACCTTCACGTGTGTACAGGTGTGAGCATGTGTCTGGAAGTTCACTTAGAGCGAGGTTCTGCTTGTGGTTTTATTTTCTTAGCATGGTCAGTATGCCTCCTTCAGAAGAGGGTTTTCTGTTACATTTGGGAGATTGTTAGGATATCCTTAAGAAAATCTCTTTTCGTTTTGTTTTTAATCCTCGCCCGAATACATTTTCCATTGATTTCTTCTTATTGTTCAGATAGAATGGAAGGGAGGCGGAGAGAGAGAGAGAAAGAGAGAAACATCGATGTGAGAGAGACACATCAGTTGGTTGCCTTCCGCACAACCCCACCCAGGGCTGGGGATCAAACCTGCAACCCAGGTACATGCCCTTGACCAGACCTGTGACTCTTAGGTCTGTGGGCCAATGCTCTAACTGCTGCGCCAAACCAGCCAGGCCAAGAAAACCACTTTTGAAAAGAGGTAAAGTAAAGCCAGAGAACCTGTTCTAGAAAATACTTTGTGTAGTCCTAATTGGAAAAGGTATTCCGCGAGACTATAATAAGGTCAGTGCATTAGTCCATGTCCCTTGAAGCTCACTATAGGTAATGCACATCACAAAAGATAAAGCTAGACTGACACAAGCCGATGTCTGGGTCTTTTCTAATCTTGTTTTTTTTTTTAATCCTCACCCGAGGACATTTTTCCATTTTTTGTTCAGGTAGAGTGGGAGGGAGAGAGAGGAACAGAAAGAGAGAGAGAAACATCGATGTGAAAGAAACACATCGAGTGGCTGCCACCCGCACAACCGACCAGGGCCGGGGACAAACTGCAACCGAGGTACGCTCCCTTAGCGGGAACCGAACCCGGGTCTCTCAGGACCGCAGGCCGACGCTCTAACCGCTGAGCCAAATCGGCCAGGGCTCTAATCTTGTTTTTTAAGAAGCAAGTTTACTTAAGGCAAAACAGATGTCTACCTTATACGATGTGTTCATGAGCCAGTTCTGTGAGGGATATGGAAGCTGTCCCCTAGTATTGTGCTATTTGATAGCTGCGGTTACAATGGAAACAGAATAGCCAGCCCAGAAGTAAACCTACGTCTGAATGGTCAGTAAGCCCTGGCCAGGTGGCTCCGTTGGTTGGAGCATTGTCCTCTACACCAAAAGGTCATGAATTCGATTCCTGGTCAGGGCACATACCCAGGTTGCAGGTCTGATCCTCGATGGGGTGCGTATAGGAGGCAACTGATCGATGTTTCTCTCTCCCTCTCCTTCTCTCTCTAAAATCAATAAAAATATTTTTAAAAAAAGATGGGCCCTGGCCAGTCTGGCTCAGCGTTAGAGCATCAGCCCACGAACCAGAGAGACCCAGGTTTGGTTACCGCTAAGGGCACGTACCTGGCGGAGCGCTCAGTGCTTGGTGTTCACCCGCTGGCGCACCCTGGGGCTGTCCTCACAGATGATGCCTTGGTGGACGTGCCTGTGTACGGGGTGAGATGGTGTTCTGCGCAGTAAGCTCGCTTCGGACACGCGGTTTGCAGATCTTCCATGCTGTTCGTGTCGTCTTCTCCCTTCTCAGTACCTCTCTGAGCAGAGCTGTAGCGTGGTTGAAGTCCAGCATGCGTTCTTTTGATCACGGCCCTCCCGTTGAGCTCTCGCATTAGGGCGCTGACCCATGTTGAGCGGTGTCATCTAGGGTGTCTGGTGAGCCCGGTTCTTCAGCATGTGGAGAGCTGGCTGGCCCAGCGCCCTGCTGGGAGGACGGGCGTTCCCGGGCGGTCCCTCGGCGTCCGTCCGTTGGTTTGGGCAGCTGTGGGAGTGCCTCAGAGGCGGACTCACTGGGAGGACTCGAACCCGCTCGGAAATAACCCCTCGCCTTTTCCGGGCGGCGGTTTTGCCTTTGGCTGTATCTTGGCACATTTCTCATTGCATGCTTTGCTCTTCTGAAAGCTTTTATCCTCATTGCTACCTGGTCTCAGACCAGACACCCCGGGCCGGGCTGTACCACGGAGTGTGTGCTAACGGTGGCCGCTGAGCCCAAACTGCTGTGACCCGATGCAGTTTGTCGAGAAGGTTAGGGGTAGGCTCGGGATTCTCAAGTTGCTCACTTGTGTTTTAATAGATGTGTTCGTTAGAGGACGGGACAGGTCTGCCGCAGTGTTGCTGGTCTGTGCTGGGGAAGGGGGTTGGAGCCACGGGTTATGGAGACCCTCCTGGTACCGCAGTGTGCGGTGTGGTCGTGCCGGTGTCGACTTAACCATCACACAACACTGAGCTGGTAGCTGTCACCGTGACACACGGGGAAGCCGAGGCTGTGGGGCATGGAGCAGTCTATCAAAGGTGCACAGCTACGGTCTGGGCAGTGTTGCCTAGCGGTTAGCATGTTGGCCTGTGCACCAGCGAGTGCTGGGGTTGTTTCCGGTCAGGGGCACGGACGTTGGTTGCAGGTTCGATTCCCCAGCCCTGGTTGGAGTGCTTATGAGAGGCAGCCATTCAGTGTGTCTGCCTCACATCGATGTTTCTCTCTCTCTCTCTCTTCCTCCCTCTCTCCCTCCCTTCCAGTCTCTAAAAATCAGTGGAAAAAAATGTCCTCGGGTGAGGAGTATCCAAAAGGGAAAAGGAGGCACATAATGCCAGTTACTTGGAGTGTGTCCCCCCAGTGGTGTGGTGTTCCCTCCAGCATTGGGTGGTGCTCCTGACTCCAGGCCACAGTCTCTACCTTCCACTGCTCAGAGAGCTTCATCTCCTTTCAATCCTTCTAGTTATCTGCAGATGGAGTGGGAGAGAGAGGCATCAACATGGGAGAGCCGCATCAACAGGTTGCCTCCTGCACGACCCCAACCAGGGCCAGGGCCAGACCACAGTCGAGGTACGCGTCCTTGGCCGGAATCAAGCCCGCGACTCTTTGGTCTGTGGGCTGATGCTCCACTGCTGAGCCAAACCAGTCAGGGCTCAAAGAGCTTCATCTGTGGATCTTTATGATGAAGTAATCAGGAGTCAGGTGTGACCTTCCTTTACAGGTTCCGAGAGCACGCAGGGCCCACCCACTGGAGGGTTCAGGCAGCTCGGGTCACCAGTCAGGGCTGGTCAGAGGGTGATGTGCTGCCATCCTCAGAGTGAGAGCCGGCGACAGCGCCGGGAATTCATACAGCAGGACACGGTCCTGTCAGGCCGAGGATTCCCATTTAAACAAGGGCAGTGCACCCTGGCCGGTTTGGCTCAGCAGTTGGAGTGTTGGCCCACGGACCAATGAGTCGCAGGTTTGATTTCAGTCAAGGGCACGGACCTCGGTTTTGGTTTGTCCCCGGCCCTGGTTGGGTCATGCAGGAGGCATTCAGTTGATGTGTCTCTCCCTCCCTCCCTCCCACTCTATCTGATAACTAGAAAAATATTCTTGGGTGAGGAACAACAAAAAAAGGGGGGGCAGCACCGTGAGTTTCCCCTTGTGGTGAAAAGACAGGGGGTCTCCAGCTACTCGACTGTGGGTTCCCGTAAACCATGGATGCTGTGCCTCGACCTTCGACCTCGGTGGGGCTTCGGAGAAGGAGCCTCGTCTGCTTGGGGTGGACTGCAGTGGGGGGGACCGTGCAGTGACGGCTCTGTGACTTGAGGGGGGTGGTGTGGCAAGGACTCCAGGGTCTAGCACATGTGCGTCTGACATCCTTGAGCATCACCTTTCAACTGTGACCCCTTTTCTCTCTCCTTCGTCTCCTCAGCCATAGAGCTGATGTACGGGGGCATCTACTGCTTCTTGTGTCAGGACTATATCTACGACAAAGACCTGGAGGTCATCGCCAAAGAGGAGCAGCGGAAAGCCTGGAAGATGCAAGGTTGGTCTGGCCTCGGTTCACGGTCTCTCTGGTTTCCTGGCCCAGCCCCTCACCAGGAGGAGAGCGTTCTCTAGGGAGGGTCTGTGGGGGACGGGAGGTGGGACAGCAGTTGCGTGTCTGCTGTTTGGTGGGCAGACACCTTCCCCACCCCTGCTCGCCCCTCCTGTAGACACAGGTGGAGTCAACCTGGGGTGCGGGACAGCAGGGGAGGGCGGGCCGCCGGGCGCAAATGCCCGTTACTCCCCACAGGTGCCCAAGGGCCTGTGGCCGCCGTGGGCTCCGCTGGGGCAGGCACGTTCTCCTGCCCACGGGCTGTCCACGGGGTGGTGCTGGTGCAGCCACGTTGCCATCTGGTCCCAGAGCCGGTTTCCCTCAGCCCTCGGGGCATTGGGAGAGCAGCCTCTCCCAGGGACGGTGAGGGTGTGTGGAAGCCTGTTCCTTCCAGGACAGCTCTGGTTCAGTCACTGCACAAGGTCTTGTACAGCTCCTAACAGTCTGGGTTACGCTTCATCTGTGCGGAATTGAAATGGCCAGATGGGAAATGTAATTATCTGTGCCAAACACCCAGCGGAGGGTTTTCCTGTCCTGCGAAGGCCTCTGGCCGCCACCCCACGGTGTGTCTCTGCTTCTGCCCCACCCGTGCCGCCGCCATCGGTGCATGGTCAGGGTGACACACGATGCAGTGCACCCATTTTCTCTCGTTCGTTTCTCTTGGCCATCCTGGTTCTCCCTTTTATTAGCTTCGTTTCCAACATGTTCTCGGGTGTTCCAGCAACCGGGCGGCGTGCTCCGCATGCCGGAGAGCGCGTCCCCGCGCAGAGCCGCGTGTCCAAGGACACGGCCAGCAGCTGCCAGAGCTCTGCCTCCTCGTTCTGCTTTGAAAACACGCACAAACGTTGTTTTGAGAAACGAAGAGTAGAAACAGGTGTGATCAGCATTGCTTGTGTTTTTAACAAATCTTCTGAGGAACGACTTCATACTGTTGATTTTAGAGAGAGGAAGGGAGAGAGAGAGAGAGACAGAAATATGGATGAGAGAGAACATGGACTGGCCGCCTCCTGCATGCCCCCCACTGGGGATCGGGCCCACAACCTGGGCCTGTGCCCTGACCGGGAATCGAACCGGCGGCCTCTTGGTGCAGGGTCCACGCTCAGCCACTGAGCTACACCTGCGGGGCTGAGTCTGCTATTTCTTTGTGCATCAAAGGGCCGAGAAGTAGAGACACTGGAGGAAGAGATTCTTTCTGGAACCTTCCTGCGGTTCCGTCAGCAGCTTGCTGCGCCTGTGAAGGCGAGAGGGTCAGCAGTTGTCCGAAGCACGGGGCCGGCGCCTCGGAACACGAGCTGGGCAGCGGAATAACACGAGACCCTTGTTCGCATTTGCAGCTGGACTCCTTTATGGGTACATCTCCCCAACGAGATGTATTTTTCAAAATATGTTTTTTTAAAATGTATTTTTTTGGTCCCTTTTGCTCCTTCACCACAAACCCTTCATCTGAACTGCTGAGCACTTCCCACTGGTGCTGACCCCGCAGTGTCCACGCAGGACCGGGGCCTTGAGCACACAGACGGCCCTCTGGCTCGGGAGGCCAGGACCCTGCCGTCCTGCGGGAAGCGGGTCTTCACAGCGCGGTCTAGAAAGTCCTTGGCGTGTTGTTCCACGGGCTGCAGCACAGCAGGGTTTGTGGAAGACCTGGTACGGGTGTCCCTCTGAGGGAGCCTGGAAGGTGCGTTCCCGTGTGGGAGCACACTGCTGCAGACTAGCCAGCAGCCGGGCACTGTTTTCTCCTGCGTAGGTGTCGGAGAGAAGTATTCCACTTGGGAACCAAGCAAACGGGAGCTCGAACTGCTAAAACACAACCCGAAAAGGCGGAAGATCACCTCTAACTGCACCATAGGTAGGCGGGGGACAGTGCTCGGTGAGGGCCTCAGGTCAGCAGGTGTGCAGAGGTGGGTTCCAGGGCCGTGCGCGGTGCCCCCAAGTGACGGTCACTCCCTATTTGCTCAGCAGCAGGTCCTGGGCACCTGTGGTCTGCAGGCCCTGGGTGGGTTGGGGTGTGCTGACGTTGGAGATGGCCTCTACCTCTTGCTGCCTCCTCTTGTGTAGAGAGGCTAAGTTACCTCTCTGCAGGTGGGGAGACTCTCCAGGTGGAGTGGGTTCTCTGCAGGTGGGGGTTGTAATGGCAATTCTTAGGGAGCAGAAATGTGTATGAGCTTGTCTGCCCTCTGGGTTTCCTGACAGTGGAAGAAATACGCTTTGGAAACATTTTTTATTTTTTTATTGATCCTTACCTGACAGTTTTCCATTGATTTTTGTTTGTTTGTTTGTTTTTTAGAGAGTAGGAGGGAAGAAGGGAGGCGGAGAGAAACTTCGATGTGAGAGAGACATCCATTGGTTGCCTCCCACATGACCCTGCCCAGGGCTGGGGATCAAACCTACAACCCAGGTTTGTGCCCTTGATGGGGAATCAAACCCGTGACCCTGAGGTCCACAGGCATGTGCTTCTACACTGAGCACAACGGGCCAGGGCACTTTGGAAACGTCTTTAAAAGCTGTTTTTGTTTGTTAGGCTGCGTTTGACCTGTCTTGTTAAACAGTATCTTTGGGTAATTTTATCAACACGCTCTGGCGGGAGGGGGCAGGGTGGGCGTCATGGCGGGGAACGTGCCTCAGTATCGTTTGTGTGAAAGTGGCTTAAAGTCTAGAAGAGTGTCACCATTTCTTCTTGAATGAATGCGCACAAACGGCACGTAAATGCGGGAAGCGCTGTGCCGGTGTTGGGGTCACCGCCCACTCTCCTGTCCTCCCGCCTAGGTCTGCGGGGGCTGATCAACCTCGGGAACACCTGCTTCATGAACTGCATCGTGCAGGCGCTAACCCACACGCCGCTGCTGCGGGACTTCTTCCTGTCCGACCGGCACCGCTGCGAGATGCAGAGCCCCAGCTCCTGCCTGGTGTGCGAGATGTCCTCGCTATTCCAGGAGGTGGGCGCGCGCCTCTCCTCCCCCTGAAAGCGCAGTGGGGGAGCCCGCTGTGCGCTTCTTACGCAGGACACGTTGCCAGCGGGAGTCATGGGAGGGACTATGGGCAGCATTTTTTGAGGCACAAAGGTGACTGGGAGGATGAGAAAGGGCCCTTAGACAGTGGCTTAACTCACGGCTGGCGCATGTCTGAACACTGCACTGGGAGCTCACCCCGCCCTGCTGCCTGCCATCCGGTCGCGCGGGGAGCGTGCGGACGTGTGCACGCCACACCGCCCGCTTCGTTCTCCGGCAAGGATCTTCTCCCTCGTCCTGGGCCTTCTGAGTGGGTGCACCTGTCCGTCCTTAGCGCCAGGCTCTGCCCTGGTCGGATCGTGGGCCACTCAGGTCTGCTGTCCATGTCTGTGCCTGAACACCACTGACTGTGTGACCTCAGGCACACAGCTTGGTGACCTCGGAAAAGCCTCTGAATGAAATCCTCGGGCCCAGTAGGAGAAACAGGTGCAACCGAGGCCCGGACGGTGGGCATGTGGCTTTCAGGGTGGATTTCAGCCGTTCTCACTGGCTCTCCTCAGTGGTGAGTTCAGACAGTCTCAGGCCTATTTGTTAAGGTGTATTTTCCAAGCAGCATATTCACCGTTTAGTGTGCAGACCTTCTCTTGACCAACACATAATTCTCACGGAGGCTTGTCGTAGAAAGTAGTCAGTGGGGAGGGGGAAGACGACGTGCAGACTCGGGCAGCCCAGGGAGTCCACCTTCTGGGCGGAGGGCACGTTTTCACCGTGTGCTCTGTGCTTGGAGCAGCGTCGCTCTGACACGTGTTCTGTGTCCCTCCGAGCAGTTCTACTCCGGGCACCGCTCCCCCCACATCCCGTACAAGCTGCTGCACCTGGTGTGGACCCACGCCCGGCACCTGGCTGGCTACGAGCAGCAGGACGCCCACGAGTTCCTCATCGCGGCCCTGGACGTGCTGCACCGGCACTGCAAAGGTGGGGTGCGCGCTCCCGCAGAGGGCTCGCTGGCCTGTACATCGGGTTTGTGTCTCCTTGTGTTTTTTCCCCAATAAGAAAAACTGCAGCCCTGGCCAGACTGGCTCAGCAGTGAGACTGTCAGCCCACGGATCGGCACGTACCTTGGTTGCAGTTTGTCCCCGGCCCTGGTTGGGGTTGTGTGGGTGGCGACCAGTCGATGTATTTCTCTCTTTCTCTCTCTCTCCCTTCCGCTCTATCTGAAGATAAGTGCAAAAAAATGTCCTCGGGTGAGGATAAAAAAAAAAACAGCCCAGGGACCGGGGAAAAATTGCAGTTGTCCTGGAGGGGTTCTTTGCAGCTTGTCTCACGAGGAGGAATGGTTGTCACTGTTGTCCTTGACCTTCCTGAGGGGCAGCAAGCCACTGGTCCTTCCACCTCTGCTGCCCGCCGGGGCCTGTGGCAAGGCCTCACCTGCAGCTCCTCAGCCCAGTATCTTCTGAATGGGCTCCAGACAGTTGGACATCAGTCACCTCCCCTGTGGGGTTTCCGGAAAGATCGTCATTGCTCTAAAGCCGCCAGGAGAGCTGGGCAGTGAACAGCCCTGCCAGCCCCTCCCTGGCCGAGTTGGGTCCATTTCCCTCCCAGGGACTTTGTGAGTCTCCAGGCCCCCGCAGCATGGCTCCTCCCATGTCGGGTCCTCAGATACATGGGGAGTGGAAAGCCTCTGGGAGCTGCAGGAAATCAGGCCTGAATGCCGAGCTGGCAAGCTCCCCCCCACCCCCCGTGGGGCTCCCCACCAGGAAGGCCGTAGCTGGAGTGACAGACAGGCCAGCTGAGGGGCGGCTGTGGCTCAGAACCCCAGAGGGCTGCCGACAGCGCCTGGTCCGCCTTCCTGTGTGTGGGTCTGGACTGTGGCCGAGGGTCTGTCGTTCTGAGCGCCCCGGGCGGTGCTGCTGGTTCATGTTGCTGTCAGGTGTGCTGAAGCATGCGGGTGGCCAGGCCTCTGGCTGCACAGGCCGGTGCAGGTGGAGGACGGAGCCCTGTTTTTCCAGGTCACTCAGTGCTGCTCCTTCTGTCTCGAGTCCCTGGCCCTGGACTCTGAGGTTGTGACTCAGAGACAAGCCAGACTTGAACTAAGACAGCTTGTGTCATCCACTGTCACAGCTTCGGGTTCTAGTTTTTTTATACTTAAATTTTTTTCTGCTGAAAACATACATATTATCCTTTTAATGCTGGTCCTGGGAATCAAGAAAAGTTGCTTAATGACTTGGGTAAGCTTGGGTTTCCTGGTGTAAAGTAGAACAGACTGTGCCAACAGGAAAGAGCTATGCTTGTCATTACAAGCACTGAGAACAGTGAAGAGCCCTGTTTGAAAATGCATTGCTGTTCACGTGACCAAAGTGATGAAACCGTGTGACCTGGTTCTCTGACATAATTCCTTTTGAGACGTCCGGGAAGCAGTGTAGGGCTCTGCACATAAACACAGGGTCGTCTGAACTCCGAGTTCATCAAGGCTGCTCATCCACAGCTCCCGGGGTAGGCCACGTGGGTGTGGCGTGGGCAGGGACGGCAGGCGCAGCTCCCGGGGCTGGAGGCAGGCCCGCCATGCAGCTGGGTGTCTTCTACGTGGTTGGAACAGTCAGGCATGTCTCAGCTCGCTTCTGTCTGCATCTTCCTGTATCGTGATGTTTTTCTCCCTAACCTCTAGGCAGCTGCTCTCAAAAGTCCGTGGCCACCCTTTACCCTCCGTAATACTTAGTTTTTCTGAGCTGTAACATACATACAGATGGATGCACTCCGTCCTCACTGTCCAGATGAACCAAAGTCCTGCGGAGTGTATACAGGATAGGTATCGATATGTGTTGTGTTTTGCCATGTAAGTTTCACACTCATATATGTACACGTGAATTACGTGTCGGGTGGCGCAAGAGCAGGTGCCCAGCTGTCTGTGTGGGAAACGGTGCAGGAATACATGGTGGGAGAGTAAGCAGGACACAGAGCAGGCAGTTGCTTGGCCTGACCCTGTATACAGTTGACCCTTGCACAACTCAGGGCGCCAGCCGTCTGCACGGTTGGAGTTTGGCCGTCACCGTAGTGGGGTTTTCAGCTATCGTCAGGCCCGTGCTGTCCGAGGGGCACCCGCAGGCGCGTCTTGTGTTGAACCAGAGAGGGTGGGCATCGTGCTCCTTCGTAATTGATGGGGAAGCGGCTGTTCCTGGGGTCCAGAATGGGACCTGATGAGGAGCATGGACCTCACGGGCCACAAGGACGCGTCCAGTCCAGAGCACGACTTCCCTGGGAGCATGGGGCCTGCATTGTGCCGGCCTCACTAGAAGATACTTGTCTAGTCGTCCTGTGAATGGGAGAGGAATCAACAACGTCCCCCAGTTACTGGGCATTTGATGTATTTTGGTGCCAGGAGGGAGGCTGAGGATGTCTTCTTGGGGAGCGGAGAAGAAGGGAATGGGAAATAACCCCCCCACCCCACCCCCCACCCCCCACCCCCCGCTACTGCTGTGCTGAGCACCTTCCCGTTGCTGGAGCCACCTGGCCCTGGCGTCCAGCTTGGCAACGTGGTGACTTGGGGGTCCGGGGAGCTCAGATCGAGTCACAGCGCTCTGGTCTCTCCCTAGGTGACGACAATGGGAAGAAGGCCAGCAACCCCAACCACTGCAACTGCATCATAGACCAGATCTTCACGGGGGGGCTGCAGTCGGACGTCACCTGCCAGGTCTGCCAGTAAGTGGGCTTTCTGCAGGACCCGAGGGTTCAGGTGCCTTCCATTGCTCACCAGGCTGTGATGTGGGGCCCAGGCTCCCTCCGGCAGAGTGTGACTACGCTGGATGCTGCTTACCAACATCATGGCACTTTCTTCCCCCTCACCCGAGGCCATTTTTCCACTTTTGTTCAGGTAGAGTGGGAGGGAGAGAGAGAGAGAGAGAGAGAGAAACATTGATGTGAAAGGGACACATCGAGTGGCTGCCACCCACACGACCAACCAGGGCCGGGGACAAGCCGCAACTGAGGTACGTGCCCTTAGTGGGAACCGAACCCGGGTCTCTCTGGGCCATAGGCCAACGCTCCAACCGCTGAGCCAAACGGGCCTGGGCTCGTGGTACATTTTTACTCTGCAAACTGTTGTGTTCGGAGAAGTGTTTCGAGCGTTTAGGCTCCCGTGTGTACTGTTTGGCCGTTGCCCTGCCGCCCCTTCTTGGTGATGTGGTGTGGGTTGTTGAGTCCTGCACTGTGGCCTCTGCGCTCTGCCAGGGAGAAACAGCTTTATTCAGACAGCCACGGACACGTTCGGATAAGAGCTCCGGTGGGAGGGGGCAGGGCAGTGCCCTCCTGGGGTGCGCGGCTTTGTGCTGTGCTGCCTGTCTGTTCGTACCCCTCAGCGTGTGCTGGGAAGCTTCTTTCCCAGGTTTTCCTTGGGGACCCTGGAACTAGGAGCCAAGTGAACAGCCCCTGTAAAGATAGCGATGCACGTCAGGTGCTCGGCACACGTGCCCCAGTGTGTCCCTTCAAGTCTTCCGTTGTTCCCTTTCCCGTGTCTCCAGAGTCATGTTCCTGAACGTTCTTTACGTTTGGTTCTGTGCTGAGAGCTCAAAGCTTTATTTCCAGGAGGAAGTGCGCTGGTGATGGGGTTGGAGGAGCCCTGTCCTTCACCCACGCCCACGCTTTTTTTTTTTTTTTTATGTCAGCTTTTTAAAAGCCTGGTGGGGATCAGTAAACACTAGAACCTCCATGGAGCACCACGTGGAGTCTGTGTAAGGCAGATTGGGTACTGGAAAGAGCCCTTTAGCCTGTGAGCGTCACAAGTGCCGTTTTCTGTTATGTAGCAGATACGGTCCCGGGCCGTTGCTCTGAGCGGTTTGGACTCGTGGCTTCAGTAACTGCCTGTTGGTCCTATTCTACTGAACCCCGTCAGATTTATATCCTGTTCAAATTTCCGCACTTTGTCCCAATCTGTGAATTTCCTGTTTCTATATTTTAAAGTAAATCTCTGGGAGGGAAGTGGCTGGGGTAGACACAGCCTGGAGCGCTGTGCCGGTCGGGGCTGCTATGGGAAGTGAGCCCGGGGTTCTGCGTTGTCGCCCGGGCTCAGCAGACCCCGTGCCCAGAGGCTGCCGAGGTGGCAGGTCCTCTGGTGCCGAACCTCTGGCCAGGGGCCGAGACTTGGCTTTAAGCACTTTGTACGGTGCCCCTCCCTAGGCCCTGGGACCCCAGGACGTGGGTGAGAACACCTCCTCTGCTGGAGGTGTCACGGGCATGAGGGTAGAGCTGGGAGGAGCGCTGGGGCCTTCCGAGCGGGGTGTCTCTGGGCGGTGTGGGTGCCAGTCCGAGCAGGGTGTCTCTGGGCGGTGCGGGTGTCGGTCCTCACGGGGTGTCTCTGGGCGGTGCGGGTGTCGGTCCTCGCGGGGTGTCTCTGGGCGGTGTGGGTGCTGGTCCGAGCGGGGTGTCTCTGGGCGGTGTGGGTGCCAGTCCCAGCGGGGTGTCTCTGGGCGGTGCGGGTGCAGGTCCGAGCAGGGTCTGCCTCCTTTCGCTTACAGCGGCGTCTCCACCACGATAGACCCCTTCTGGGACATCAGCTTGGATCTGCCCGGCTCTTCCACGCCATTCTGGCCCCTGAGCCCAGGCAGTGAGGGCAGCGTGGTGAACGGGGAGAGCCACGCATCGGGGACCACCACGCTCACGGACTGCTTGAGGAGGTAAGGAGCCCGGTCCTTTTGCAGACAGACAGAGTTCTGTCCTGGAGGCAGGCCTCAGTCATGAACTAGCGCCCTAATAACATTGGCGCCACCCAGGGTCCCGGCAGCAGTGTCTTCACACGGTGAGGATGGAACGGCTACAGCCGGTGCCCAGGAGCTCGTACAGTTTGTCCCGGACCTGCCGGGTGACTTCTGTCCACCCATGTTTGCGTCATTGTGGGAGGTCTGTGTCTTAGCCGCTGTCCCCAGCCCCGAGGTGAAGTATCAGAGCAGAAGTGAGCTGCCTCACTCTCTGTGCCGGAGGAGCCACCCCGAGGCCTGTGGTCTCTGTGGGTGCTGGGAAACCTGTGGGTGCTGTCTGCACCTGCACCTGTGTTCACATCTGTCCATTTTCAACACCAGTTCAGACAGGTTAGGGTGCAGGTGCTGTAAAATGTATTTAACTGTGACATACAAAGGTGTCAAGGCCCAGAAGACTCTCCTAAACTTAATGGAGTTTATTCTTGTAAAACCTTTATCTTTCTTTGCGGGGCGGCAGTGCTCCTGGAGGAGAGGGACACACCTCAGTATTGACCTTGCTGCTGTCAGCAGACCCTACGGTGCATGCTTAGATTGTGAAAGTTAATTAACTTTGAGAGAGACGCAGATGTCCAGCAGCCATGAAAATATGCCCAGTGTCACTAATCAGAGAGATGCAAACTAAAACAACGAGGTATCACCTCACACCTGTCAGAATGGCCGCCATCAACAAAACAAATCATCAAACAAGTGCTGGTGAGGGTGTGGAGAAAAGGGACTCTACTACACTGCTGGTGGGAATGCAGACTGGTGCAGCCACTATGGAAAACAACATGATGTTACCTCAGAAAATTAGAATTGAGCCCTGGCCGGTTTGGCTCAGCGGTTAGAGCGTCGGCCTGCGGTACAGAGAGACCCGGGTTCGGTTCTCGCTAAGGGCACGTACCTCGGTTGCAGTTTGTCCCCCACCCTGGTTGGTCGTGCGGGTGGCAGCCACTCGATGTGTCCCTTCACGTCGATGTTTCTCTCTCTCTTCCTCTCTCTCCCTCCCGCTCTATCTGAACAAAAAATAGAAAAATGTCCTCGGGTGAGGATGAAAAAAAAAAAAAAAAAATTTTGACCCAGTGATCCCCCTTCTAGGAATATACCCTAAGAAGCCTGAAACACCAATCAGAAAGAATATGTGTACCCCCATGTTTGTAGCAGCGCTATTTACAATAGCTGAGATCTGAAAACAGCCCACGTGTCCATCAGTAGACGAATGGATAAAAAAGCTGTGGTACATGTACACAATGGAGTACTACGCAGCTGTAACAAAGAAAGACCTCTTATCCTTTGAGACGACATGGAGGGACCTGGAGAGTATTATCCTAAGCAATACAAGCCAAACAGAAAGACACGTATCATATGTTCTCACTTATTTCTGGAATCAAATGAACAAAATAAACTGATGAGCAAAATAGATCCACGGACATGGAAGCAGGAAACAGACTGCTCTCAGAGGGCAGGGGAGAGGAGGCAGGGACGATGTGTGTCAGAGAACTTGCAGTGAGCATAGCCCATGGACAGCACACAGGCAGAGGCCTGGGTGGGGTGGTGGAGAGGTGCACGTTGGGGGATGTGGGGGAACATCTGTAATACTCAGTAAGAACAGCAAGTTAAATTAACTTTGTTACACTGGTAGATCCAGACATAAATGATGTATGAAAATTTTAATTTGAAAAACAAGCATATAAAGAGTCTTTTTCATTTTTTAAGAGAGCATTTATAATGAACTTAAATTTTGTGGTAAATTTCAATAACATTGAAACTGCCTGCAAGGCAGGCGACGGGACCGTGCTGAGCAGACAGATGCCTGGAGGTTGGTCAGGGCCTGGGCCGCAGAGGTGGGCTTGGTCCCAGCCTTGATAAGCAGCAGAAATGAGAGGGTCACCAGGCTGGGGGAAGGTGCCTGAAGTACGAGCGAGAACCGGAGTGACTGGGTGCCTGTCACCATTTTCAGCGCTTGGAAGATTTGCCTGTGAAGCTTTTCAGTCCAGGACTTTTGTGTGTTGGGAATTTGTTTTTATTTTTAATCACCCGTGGACGATGCTTTCACTGATTGTAGAAAGAGAGTAAAGGGGAGAGAGACAGAGAGAGAGAAACATTGACCAGTTGCCTCCTGCATGTGCCCCGACTAGGGGTCAAACCCACAACCCTTCTGTGCATGGGCCACATTGGTGGAGGGGAGGTCATTGATTACTGCTTCAGTCTCATTAATTGTAATCTATTTACTTTGGTGGTGAATCCTCACCCAAGGATATTTTTTCCATTGATTTTTTTTTGAGAGTGGAAAGGGGGCCTGAGAGAGAAATGTTGATGTGAGACTTGATTGGTTGCCTCCCGCATGCACCCCAACCAGGGCCGGGGATTGAACCTGCAACCCAGTCGTATACCCTTGACTGGGAATCAAAGTCACCACTCTGTGGTGCACAGGCTGACATTCTAACTGCTGAGCCAGACCAGCCTGGCTCCCCCAGCTTTATCTACTTTTCGCCCCTGTGTCCTCGTCTGGGCAGGCCTCTCGGCACCTTGTCACTGGAGGTCTCCCCCGTTGCTGTGAGGTGGATCCTTTGTAAAGTCGAGGTGACGGTTGTGTGAGTGTGTGTGGTAGGGAACGAATCCAATGAGGGATAAAAGGACTCTCTTTTACCGCCTTCACGTCTTTTCTGAAAAGCACACTTGCTTTGCAGGTTCACCCGACCAGAGCACCTGGGCAGCAGCGCCAAGATCAAGTGCAGCGGTTGCCACAGCTACCAGGAGTCCACCAAACAGCTCACCATGAAGAAGCTGCCCATCGTAGCCTGTTTCCATCTCAAAGTAAGTGTCTCAGGAAAGCCCGGTAGCAGCCTCGGTTCTCAGCCCAGTACAGCTGGGAGGGAGCCTGTGGTGTGCAGAGTACATGTCCCAGCTCCAGTGACCCCTCGCCAGGGAGAGGACACGAGGAGGGTGAGCTGGACCTCCTTCCCCGCCGTCTGGCTGTGAGGGAGCTGTCATGGATGGAAAGTAGTTACTGTGTGATGAAAACAGGATGCGCGCTGTTCTGCTGGGCTTGGGGTGGTTGAGGTTCTTTTTTATCCTCACCCAAGGACATTTTTTTCATTATTTGTTCAGATAGAGTGTGTGTGGGGGGGCATCGATGTGAAAGGGACACATCGAGTGGCTACCTACACCACCCAACCAGGGCCAGGGACAAACTGCAACCGAGGTACGTGCCCTTAGCCGGAACCGAACCCGGGTCTCTCTGGACCACAGGCCGACGCTATAACCGCTGAGCCAAACCGGCCAGGGCAGTTGAGGTTTTACTGCTCTTACCTGAGTTCTTCCCTCCTCACCCCAAGTCTTCTGTGTGTGTGTTTTTACTTAAAAGAAAGGTCCCTCAGCGACGTGATCTAGTGACCTCATCCCAGGGTCAGCAATCTCTTTCTGTAAAGGGTCAGATACTAAACACTGTGGAGTTTGCAGTCACGTGATCTGTTTCATAGTTTTCTTTTTTCATCCTCACCCGAGGACATTCTTCCATTTTTTGTTCAGGTAGAGTGGGAGGGAGGAAGGGAGAGGGAGGGAAAGAGAGAAAGGGACACATTGAGTGGCTGCCACCCACATGACCCAACCAGGGCCGGGGACAAACTGCAACCGAGGTACATGCCCTTAGCGGGAACCAAACCTGGGTGTCTCGGGACCGCAGGCCAATGCTCTAACCGCTGAGCCAAACCGGCCAGGGCTCATAGTTTTTTTTTTTTTGTGACCCTTTAAACGTGTTAAAAAACAAAATGGAATCACTCTTAGTCTCCTAGCTGGATTTGGGGCCCAATGTGGTCACAGGACCATCTTGTCCTGGGCGAGGACAGGGCTCGTCTGCTCGGAGGCTCTGGACCCTGCACTCCGCTGGCTCTGTAAGGACATCTGGGCAGCGGGTGTTGATCTCTTTGAACTCGATGTCAGCACTTGCATCGAGCCCCATAGTTCAGATGATATGTGGTGGTTTATTGAATCTGTAAGCTCCAGATGCCCGAAGGCTGTCAGCAAGTGAACAGAGCGCACTGTGGGGAGGGCACGGCCCCGTGACGGCCCCCCTACGGCACCCTTCTCCCTCTTTCTCTTGTCGCTGCAGCGATTCGAACACTCGGCCAAGCTGAGGCGCAAGATTACCACCTACGTGTCCTTCCCCTTGGAACTGGACATGACCCCGTTCATGGCGTCCAGGTGAGGAGGGGTGTGGCTGGGGCGGGGTGGGGGTGGCTCTTCAGGCCAGTGACCCGCACCAGCTTGCGATGAGACAGTTGTAGGTGTCGACATAACCATAACCGCTGAAGCCAAATGATCGTCCTGGCTGATCTTCACCCAGGACATATTTCATTTATCTTTTTAAATTTTATTTATTGGTGTTAGAGGAAGGGAGAGCAGTTGCTGTTCCACCATCTTGTGTGTTCATTGGTTGATTCTTGCATGTGCCCTAACGGGTCAAACCCATACCCTGACGTATCAGAGCATTACTAGTCAACTGCGCTGCCTGGCCAAGACCCAAGACACGTTTTAATTGGATGAGTTGTTTTTCTCAGATGTGCCGTGGCTTTGGGTTTTCCCAAGCCGTCCTTTGTCAAGGTGGGGTCACGGCGGGAAGGACCCCTTTACCTGGGGAACTAACTGATTCTGGAATACAGATAAACATAGCTGGTTCTTATTTAAATATATATAATTTTTTTTTTTTTTTATCCTCACCCGAGGATATTTTTCCATTTTTTGTTCAGGTAGAGTGGGAGGGAGAGAGAGGAAGGGAGAGAGAGAGAGAAACATCGATGTGAAAGGGACACATCGAGTGGCTGCCACCCACACGACCCAACCAGGGCCGGGGACAAACTGCAACCGAAGTACGTGCCCTTAGTGGGAACCGAACCCAGGTCTCTCTGTACCGCAGGCCGACACTCTAACCGCTGACCAAACTGGCCAGGGCAATATATAAAATTTTTTATTGATCTTTTTTTTTAGAGAGAGGAAGGGAGAGAGAAACATCAATGGGCCGCCTCCTGCATGCCCCCCACTGGGGATCGAGCCCACAACCCGGGCACGTGCCCTGACGGGAGTTGAACCGGAACCTCAGTCATGGGGCGACGCTCAGCCACCGAGCCGCATGGCCGGGCTACTTAGCTGATTTTGCAGTTGCAGATTGCATTTTCATGTTTTTAAATCTCGATATTACAGGCCATTTAAAATGTACCTTCCCCCCAAAGTGCAACATGTACTAATATATTGATCACGTGTTGCTTTGTTTCCTGGGGCCACTGTGACAGTTTCTACACACTTGGTGGCTAAAAGCAAGCTGGCAAGTCTGTGCTCCCTGGGAAGGGCCAGGGAGGGTTTCATCTGCCAGGAGGTGAGACACCCAGGAGGGCCTGGGCTGGCTCCGCCATGGGGCAGGTGTGCTCCGCTCGTCCCGCCGGCCTGGGCTCGGACTTCTCACCTTCCACAGGACAGTCTGCCCGGAAGGAGAGTTGCTGGAAGAACTGGGAAGTGGGTGTGAAAGGGGCCCAGCAGTGTCAGGCAGAGAGGCCCCAAGTTGTTACATTGTTACAAGTATCACCACCTAAGCCACCATCCGTAGTTCAGTGATTTCCAACCCGGTGCCACAGGGAAAACGTGCAGCACCTGTTAAGTCAGGGGTGCTGACCCCTCTTCCCTTAGACGCTCAAATAAAACTGACAGCAGCCAATATGATGATAACAGTGCACCTGAACGAGTCAGAGTTGCACCCTGTCATCAGATCAGCAGAGGATACGTGTTTTTGGCGTGCTAGAGTTCAGGGATTAGCTTGTGTGTGCCAGGAGGTGAGAAAGGTTGGACATCGCTGTGTCCATTGTTTAAACGGTGCTGAGTTCTGCCGTCGTGTGTTACAGCAAAGAGAGCAGAATGAACGGACAGTACCAGCAGCCCCCGGACAGCCTCAGTAACGACAACAAGTGAGTGACCCGGGCGCCCTGGACACCACTGATAGAGCCGAGGCATCTCCCAGGGAGGCCGCTCGGGAGTGGCCATAGCAGCACTTGTTTGTACTGGCCACTGGCCTGCCGCCCACTGGCCTGGTGTGAACATACTCGGCCCTCTCCCAGGAAAGGACTTTTTACAGCCTGGGCCCCGCCCCTCCTCCTGGCCTCTTCGTGAGTGAGGATCTGTCTGGCCAGCGCAGGCCCAGAGAGAGCCCAGTGTCTGAGCCCCGGGCCCTTGGTCTCTGCTGCCAGCATTGCACCCAGGTCCCTGCCCTCTCGTCTGCCGCCCTTCTGGTGAGGCAGAGAAGGAAAGGGAAGGGGGTCACATGTCCCTAACGCCCCTCACTCGCCATGCCCAGTAAATGTGCTTCCATTGAAGAAGCTCACGGGCCACGTGGCGGCCACACACCAGACCAGTGCCTGCCCTCTGCGCCCCCTGGGCCCAGCTTCGGTTCCTGGGCACTGGGGTCGGCCAGTGTCCTCCTGTACTGGCCACAGCTGCGTGAACAGTGTTTCTGGCGGTGGTGAGATTGCGTTGACGGCTGCCCCTCCCACTCCCCTCCCGGCCAGGTACTCCTTGTTCGCGGTGGTCAACCACCAGGGCACCCTGGAGAGCGGCCACTACACCAGCTTCATCCGTCAGCACAAGGATCAGTGGTTCAAGTGTGACGATGCCATCATCACGAAGGCCAGCATTGCAGACGTGCTGGACAGTGAGGGGTGCGTGGGCTCGTGGGCCGCAGACACGGTCCCAAGCTGAGCCTGTCGGGGCTGTTCGAAGGTGTCCCCTTCGGTCACTCCCAGCCCAGGACACGTGGCTGCCTGTTTGTGGCTGCATCCTGGGCTGGCGCCCGGGTCCTGCAGCCCCTCTTCCCTGTGGCACCCCTTCCTGGCTCGCCCGGGCCCAGCCCTGGAGAGGGCTGACTGTGGGGAAGCAGCCTGTCCGGGAGGCCAGCGCCGAGGGCTCGCCGTGCCCGGTGCAGGAGCCTTGCCAGGAGCAGCGCTGACAGGCCCTGGTGTCCCGGGTGGAGAGACCGGCCCAGGCCCTGGGGCAGCAGGGCCAGCAGGACTCCGGGCTGCTGGGGGGGGGGGGCAGACGGGGCTTGGGCATTAGGTGGAGGCTCCGTTCTGAACCCTGTCTGGGGAGGGTCGTTCAGCCTCGGCCTCTCATGAACTGGACTGTGACCGTGCTTCTGTCTCTCCTCCTCAGGTACCTCCTGTTCTACCACAAACAGTTCCTGGAGTACGAGTAGTCTTGTCCACAGCTGATCAGAAAACAGGCCTGAGTTGTCAAGCCTCACAAAATACTCCCCGACCACCTAGCATCAGGCCACCAGCCACACAGAAGTGCCCCCACGACCTTTGGGTCCTCTGCCGCCTGGGCCCAGATCGAGGGGTTTGAATGGACAGATGGCTGTGGTGGAGGAAGCTCCAGGGGCCGCACCCCAGAAAAATGAAATGAGGGCTGTGCTCCTCGCGGGGGGCAGAGGAGATGTATTGCCCATGTATCTCCTCTGCTCCTCAGACAAGGTGTGGGTGACGACGTGTGCCCCCCAGCACAGGGCCTGGCCCTGGTGCACGGGCTCTGCCACATGATGGTGCAGGGTAATTTTAAAAGGCTCCCACCCATGTCCCACATGTGGCCCGTGGCCCATGCGTGGGCTGTGGCCTGTGGCCCACGCGTGGCCTGTGGCCCACGCAGGGCTCACTGAAGCACTGAGAGGACAGGCGTCGCAGGAGCACCGAGGGTGCAGGTGTTCTTGTGGCTGTGTGTGGCCTCTGTGTGGTGAGGGCCCTTGGCTGCTGCCTGGAGCCTGTGGGGTGGCGTTCTTCTGCGTTGGCCTGCGTGTGGAATGCAGCCTGCCCCTCCAACCCCCCCCCCCCCGTGAGCTTGTGGAGGAGGTGTGTTCCTACCCTCCCCCTCCACCCGGCAAACCCAGAGGCAGAGGCAGTGATGGACGGGCCGAGCCCACACTGGTGCAGACGGTTCTTCCTGGCACTGTCTCACGTGCCCTCCCACCCCCTTTGAGCGTGTCTGGGCTCCAGCTGGCAGGAGCTGCTGCGGGCCGTCTCCACCATAGCACCCTTTTGAGTAATGGGTGCAGTTTTTAACGGTTTCTTGGTTTCCCTTCCTCACGTCTTCTCGGCTGCCTGTCCCACCAGTGGCTGTCACTGCTCGTGGCCCAGTGGCAGCTCCAGTGGCTCCAGTGGAGACCACACCACGCTGCCGAGGGCGTCCGCTTCCCGTTCCCTGTCTTTTGAGTTGTGCAGAAAGTGACCTGGTGATGGCCCCGTGGAGACAGCTGACAGAGTTGCGTGTTCTGTGTGGGCCACGTTGCATCTGTTCTGCCAAACCCAGCTCAGATTCGTATGTCTCAGAGATGCTGAACCGGAGGTGGCAAGGCAAGGTCCCTGTGATGGCGTTTGGGACCCGGGCTCGTATGTCCTGGGAGCCTCGGCTGAGCTGCCAAGGGTCCCTGCTCGAGTGGGTTGTCGGTCTCTGGCCGCAGGCAGTCAGTGAACAAGTGAGTCAAGCTGTGTTCCGATAAAACTTTATTTGAGGTCACTGACATTTGAATTTCATATGATTTCCGCATCATGAAGTTTTTTTTGCACTATTTAAAAATGTGTGGGATGTCCTTTGTGGACAGGCCTTCCAGAAGCTGGGGTGGCCCGGGTCCAGCTCACTAGCAGTTACATCAGGAGGGCCGGTGTCAGCAGGAGTGACGTTACTTCTCTGTGTGGGAAATGCCAGGATGTGCAGAGCAGTCTACCTGTGGGGTCATCGCTTGTGCCAGAATTCCTCATGATGGGTTGTTTTTCTTCATTTGTTCATCACCTTTTATCTCCTCTGTGTCCTCTTCCCCTGCTCCCCTCCCCCCAGAATCCCCCCCACACACACCCTCCCAGCCCATCACAGGTGGCTGTCTGTCTCCTGAGTTTATCGATTCTGTGTGGTAGTTCAGTCTGTTCCTTAGACTCCACATGTGAGGAAAACCATAGGGTACTTGTCTTTTTTTGTCTTATTTCACTCAGCATAATGTTTCCCAGGTCTGCCCAAGCTGTCATAAAAAGATAAGAGTTCCTTTTTCACAGCTGCGTAGTATTCCATTGTGTACACATACCACAGCTCTTGTATCCGCTCACTGCTGATGGGCACTTGGGCTGTTTCCAGAACTTGGCTATTGTAAATAGTGCTGCTATGAACTTAGGGGCCTAGTAATAGTTTTAAAGCATTCGCTCAGTTCATTCTGTTATATTTCTGCATTTATGGAATGCAGATTTTAAAGCATGTAGATGTAGACTTTTAGAATTGGCCACGTGTTCGAGGTGTGTGTGTGAGAGAGACACTGCTGGGAAGATCTCCTTTGGGAAGAGGTGTTGTCTCATAATGAACGAATCTCGCAGAAGGAGACCTGTGCCGTTCTGCGCCCTGGCATCCTCGCGCGTGTGCTGCTCGTGTCCTCGGCTTTGCAGGGTGGAGACCACGCAGGTGTGCTGGCCTGGAGTTTCTGGAAGATGGGGTACCTGTGGTCTGGCCAGCCTGCTCCCCGAACCTACTGCTCCCCTCCCTGTACGCCTTCCTGTCCTTGCCAGGGTTCGGAATCCAGCTGCTCGGACAACACAGGACGAGGGAGGAGAGGGGCCGTGCTGATCTTTTGTGACATTATTTTAAACTTCTGTATCCAAATTAACTCTCTCTCTCCCCTTTGGTGTTGATGTTCTGAGCACTTACTTCTCTGCTGCTGAGAGATTCCTGCCCTGGAGGAGCTGGGGGGCTGCAGGAGGCCCCACGGTAGACGAGCTCCTTCGAATCCACCTTGTTAGGGACATGCTGCCTGATGCTGTGGGGATTTCCTTTGTACAAGCTCCCACTCCAGCTGTTAAAGTGGTTCTTTGTTTTTTACAAACCCCTGTGACATAGGTATTCCTGTTGCTGCCAAGTGGTCTGACCACTGAGGCCTCGTTCGGGGACCCTCCATGCCCAGTGGTGTTTCCAAATGCTGGGGGTTTCTGAGATGTTGGCCTTTGCCTCCTTCCACACCTCACGGTGACTCTCCCTCCAGGTGTGCGGCAAGAGTTGCCTGCAGTGTCGTGTGCCGGGGTCAGGGCTGCCCGCAGCCTGAGGACGGGCTGGCTGGGCTTCCCTCAGCCCCCGTGGCCCTGCTGTCGGGCCGGAGTGTCCCAGGACCCCTCCAGCAGCCCCTGCACCGTGTGGGCCCGAGCTCTGCTCGGCTTGGGGTGTGTGCTCATTGTAGAGTTGCCGGGGTGGGTTTTGTGTGTGTGGGTTTTTTATTTGATAATTGAACTGACTCTTGTAACCAAAAACAAAAATTATAAGGTAAAGATTCCAACAATTGTGCTGTGGATTTAATGACCAAGATGTTTCCGCCTCTCCCTGCTGTTCTGAGGAACTGATGGACTGTTCTCCCCCGTGGCTTGTAGTGTCTCCTGTCACAATAAAGCTCCATTTGATTCTGGAAACGGGCTGACTCTCCAGTCCTAACACCAGCAGCCAAAGGGGGGCAGGGATGGGAGGCCCCGCGAGTGGGCAGGATGGCGACGTGTCCTGGATTCAGACCTGGCTGTGCGCACTCACCAGGGCGGGGCTCATGCCCGGCCGGTGTGGCTCCGTGGACTGAGCCCTGTGGCCCCAGTCCCATGCCTGGTCAGGGCACATACCTGGGTTGTGCGCTCCATCCCCAGTAGGGGGTGTGCGGGAGGCGGCCAGTCAGTGTTCTCTCTCATGGATGTTTCTCTAAAAAAATCAATAAAAACATTTTTTAAAACGTGGGAGTCCTTGCCAGGGTGATTACAAGGCTGGGACGTGGGTAGGAACACACATTTACAGGCAGTTCCTGCAGTGCTCAGAGAACAGCACATGTACATGAGCAGAGAACGTGCACCCTGTCTGCTCTCTGAGTCTGGCTGGTCACGGCCACGGCTGACACCGTGACACCTCCTTCCCCTTCGCCTTGCACACGTCCCCTCCCTCGGAACCTTGGCCGGTCTCCACCTGCTGGACCTGAACCCTCATTTCTTTTGTTTGTTTGTTTTAAAACTCATCTTTATTGTTGAATGTATTACAGATGTTTCTCCCTTTTTTCCCCACTGACCCCCCCTCCCTATTTTCGCCCCCTCCTGCCTTCCCCACACCATTGTCGGTGTCCATTGGTTATGCATATGTGCATAGAAGTTCTTTGTTTATCTCCTCCCACCCTCCCTCCCCCTTTCCCTTTGAGGTTCATCAGTCTAACCAGTTTGTACTTCTTAATTCCTTCATCTTTTTCACCCATCCTCCCAACCCCCACCCATCTGGCAAGCAACAAAAACTATGAGTCTGTTTCTGTTCTGGTTGCTCGTTTTGTTTGTGGATTCTATTGTTGTATGGGAGCAGACTTTTTGATTTCTGAGATTAGAAGTGTGATTGGTAAGTGAGGTCACCTTTCTCTTCTGTTCCAAACCTGGTGTCCCCCAACTCCCGGATCCTGCTAGCATTTTCTTTTCTCTCTCTCTTGTTAATCCTCACCTGAGGAAGTTTTCCCCCATTGAATTTTAGAGTGGAAGGGAAGGACAGAGGCAGGGATGGAGGGATAGAGAGACATCTGGATTGTACCTCCTACAAGCACCCCTATGGGGCAGGGAGCGACCTGCCACCCAGGTACATGTCCTTGACCAGGAATGGAAACATTACCTTCAGTGGTGGGCCCAACCGAGCCAGGAGATCGACCACACTCAGACTCCATTTTTCAGTTTTTGGGGATGTTTTATTACCTGCGCAGGGACTGCAGCCAACCTACACAGAGGAGAACTGCAGCCCCAAGCTCAGGGGGAGGGTTGCTTATATAGGGCAGGGGTCATTCAAGAGTTTAGCAGAGCAAGCAAGCTGCTTGTACAGAAGCGGAGGCAGTTAGCGATAAGCAGGAGGGAACGGAGGGGGGAGGGAGCTGGGGCGAAAGGGAACTGGGTGAACTGGGTCAGCATACATCTGTCCTGCTATTCATTCCATTATCCAAGTTTTAAAAACTAACAAATTCGAGACAGATATCAGCAGTCAGTCAGGTGCAATACACACATGTTGAACAGTTACAGTTTTATGGGGTAAAGGGAGCTTCAGTTTCTCCCTATCAGTTTCTTTACAGAGCATGCAGGACACTCTGGCCTTGGGGCCGTTTGTGTCCTCCCTTTTCTTGAAGGATGTTGCTTTTCAAATTCCCAGTGAAGGTCAAACTCTAGTTAATTTTTATGGGGCTAAAGCCCTCTATAACAGAAGGGAAGGACAGAGGCAGGGATGGAGGGATAGAGAGACATCTGGATTGTACCTCCTACAAGCACCCCTATGGGGCAGGGAGCGACCTGCCACCCAGGTACATGTCCTTGACCAGGAATGGAAACATTACCTTCAGTGGTGGGCCCAACCGAGCCACACCGGCCAGGGTAATTTTTCTTATTTTATTTTTCTTTATTTTTTAAAATTTTTATTGTATGTATTACAGATGTTCCTCATTTTTCCCCCATTGACCCCCTCCTCCCCTGTCCCGCCCCCCTCCCACCTTTTCCCACACTATTGTCTGTGTCCAATGGTTATGCATATAAGTTCTTTGGTTTATTTCTTCCCACCCCCCAACCCCCTTCCCTTTGAGGTTTGTCAGTCTAGCAATGAATTTGTGCTTAATCCCTTCACCTTTTTCACCCATTTCCCAACCCCCCTCCCATCTGGCAACCAACAAAATGTTCTCTGTATCTATGAGAATGTTCCTGTTCTTCCTGTTCATTTGTTTGTAGATTCCATTGTTGATAGATATGTATTCATTGCCATTTTGTTTGTTCATACAT